AMYTWAWWAAAAAACCAATCAAACGRCCCTAAATCTAATGCGGCAATATCAAACCTCAAAGTAAACAAAAGTCAAAAGAACAATAATAAATTGTAAAATTCAGAATCTATGTTATTGTGCATTGTAAATAACAAGTGCACAATAATTAAGACAATATCACAATATGTTGTTAATGTTGTGCAGTGTGCTTCAGCTATGTTGATACAGTGATRTGTTCATGTGCATTGAAATTTTCAATTCTCAGATATTTCAATATGCAAGAGAAAGACTTATTATCAAAATGACAAAAGCCCCTTAGCTTAGCCTASTAGGTCCGTAACCCACACGACCACATGACCCAACTTTATAATAATCAGTTAGAAATTTAGATTTTTTTGCAAAAAGATTTACAKATTCATAAATCATAGTATGACTCACACAACAACTTGGTAAGTTCAATCAACAGTAGAAATCAGTCATTTGAGATTTTCATCTTTGATTTCTTGAATCTAATTTCATGACCGTTAATCGGCTRGAAAGAGAACTCCATGCCTTGAAAATCAAAATAGTCGWACTTTGAAGAATATTATAAATTAGATTGAGTTGTTGGMATGATGGCGTTAACTGRTTTACGATTTGCATTCARTATTCATCACTACTAGGCCTTAGGCCTGTTTTTATAGTTAAAGCTCAGTTGTCTAATTYCTAAACTATTAAACCCAAAACTAGTAATAGATGAYAACTTGATGCCTCTTTAGACTTTRATGYCCTATGCGGCCGCACGGGCTACACGTAACAAAAAACGATCAACAAAATAGTTGTTTTTATGAATGAAATAGTTACTTCATAGAATCTTCTTGCTAAAAATTATACATAGATTCTTTTTATATTCTTTACCACTTCGATTTAACTCAGAAATGYGACATTTGTTATGTGGATTCAGTTATTATTTGATGATGTATGCTCTTTACATAAGGACGTAAAGGTCCCTCCCCCAAAAAGCAATAAATTAGTGGAGGTACGTGCAAGCTGGGCCGGACACCCACGTTTAACATAAAAAAATCGATGCACAAGATTACAGTTATATGTATTTGCAAAKTATACGAGAGGCTTGAAATGAGTTGTTTGAAGCATCATCTCTTGAAGGTTGGGGTATTATCTTGGAAAACTAAAGAATTTTATAAAAATTGTAGCAAGTGTTGGTTTTTTTTACAAGGTTGAGAGAAGCATGAGACTTTAAGTTATAATATTGGTAAAATTTGTACATTATCAACCATATATATATACATTGGGTAATTCTAATCGACTAATATTGATATTTGTATGTGGTGTTTATAAGATATTTAGATCATAAACTTGGACGGAAACAACCYAATCCAATACACAATTATATTGATTTAGTTTATTTGACAAAAACAAATTTGCACTTTTATTATTGTTGCTTATATTTATTCGAATTTTACATCTCGTCTATTGTACGACTACCCAGGAGCTGACC